AACGACAGCGAGGAGTTCTTCCGGGAGGACGATGGTGCAGGTGACCGGCCCCTGATGCCTCTCGGTTCATTCATTCATTCACTCATTCCTTCCTTCCTCTTAGAGAGGGTGCCTGTCGGGGGGAGGTGCCTGCCGCGAGGCGCGCCCCTCCAGTGTGTCTGTTCAGAACGTGAGGGCCGAGCGCGGGCGCAGTGTTAGGGTCCGTGCACTTGCAGATGCCGATGGTCTCATTGTCCCCTCGGGGCCGGAAGTGCGTGCGAGGGAGTGGGCTCTGGTTTGTTCACGCATTTTGTGACTTGGCCTGTTTTACCCCCTGCGCTGTCTTTGGCCACTCAGCCTTGCTCTAGAACCGGGTGGGGAACCTTTTTTCTGCCGGGGCCATGTGGATATTTGTAACATCATTCGCGGGCCATGCAAATGCATCAACTTAAGCGTTAGCCTGCAGAAAACGAAAACTAGCCCGAGATATGGGTCAGACATTTCCTTAACGCACCCCTAATGCCTTGGCAAGGCCAGCCCCAGTGACTGCAGGCGGTATCCAGACGTTCCCACCGGCTCTAGTGGGGTCCGCAGGGGTCCAGGCCTCCCGCTCTCCAGCCTCCGCAGCCTCCTGCCTGCCTGCGCAGAGGCCCTGGGTCTGGCCCACACAGTTGCAGTCCCTCCCAGCACACCTGTGCCTCGTGGTGTCGGTCCCGCCATCAGTAATCGTGCAGCCAGAGGGGCAGTCATGTCGCCATGGAGCCTAGGGGCCTGGGGAGCCAGTGGAGGGCTGTGAGCCGGGGATCGACAAGGTCCAGTTGGAATATTCAGAATCCCACTCCGCGGTCCATGTGGAGAATGGACTCGAGGAGGGGGGCCGGCTAACAGGAGCCGGGGGAGTTCCAGCTCAACTCCCTGCTGGTGAGGCCCCAAGTGCAAGTGTGAGTGCGTCCTGCACCGTGGCCCTCGGACCAGCGGCCCCACCGGCAGGGCAGGAACGCCAGGTGTGTCTGCTGGACGAGTGGCTGGACGGCAGGACGGGAGCTGGGGCGCTGGTGTTGAGTGGTCCCGCCCCCCAGACCCAGAGACTCCAGCACTGGCCTTGACCGCTCTGTGAGCTCGGCAGTGCCCTCATCTCGGATCAGACCCACGCCCGTAGGGAAGCACGAACAACCACCCACCTGCCTCCCTGGTGACGATGCCGCGTCATCCCAGCCTCGCCCCGTTTCCTGCAGGCTGGTGGCACCTAGTTCCGGTGACAGGGCCACAGGGAAGCAGAGGAGTGGCAGTGTGTGGGGTGCATGACCCCCCGGAGGAGACCAGACAGAAGGGGGTGGGGGGAGCTTAGAGGGCTGGGTGCGGCCCTGACGGATGGGGTGGGCAGAGGGCAGGCGGGGGCAGATGTCGAAGGCCAGGGTAATAAAGGGCCCGCAGAGGGCCCAGCGGGGCGGGAAGGAGTCACCCCTGACCCAGCCTCCTGCCCTCCAGCTGATCTGCACAACGCCACCAACCTGCGGTCCCGGTCCCTGTCTGGCACGGGGCGGTCCCTGGTCGGGTCCTGGCTGAAGCTGAACAGAGCGGATGGAAACTTCCTTCTCTATGCACACTTAACCTACGTCACCTTGCCGCTGCATCGGATCTTAACAGGTAGCGTCTGCTGTGGAAAACGGGCGTCACCGCTTTGTAGCCAACCTGACTCCCGGGCCCCAGGTTCCTGAGGCCAGTTCAGGGGTGACCAACCCCGTCCCATCGTTCCCAGTCAGGACCCTGTTCACACTCGCTGCGGGGCCTCTGGGAGAGGCGGCCCTGTCCCACTGACGGGGCTGGCTCCACCCCGAGTCCCTGTCCGTGACACGGGGCCTCCAGCACTGCAGCCTGCGAGGCTGGAAGAGGGAATCCTGGGAATTGCGTGGCGTGGCCTTGCGTCCTGACTTCCTTGTCCTGTCCTTCCTCACCTCCCCCCAGACATCCTGGAAGTTCGGCAGAAGCCCATCCTGATGACCTAGCCGTGCGCGGAGCCCACACGGAGCCCCCGGCCCGGCCCTGGGAGTACTGCCAAGTGCCTACCTGTCCACCGCCACCGGGGTCTCTGTGACAGCCCAGTGCCGGAGCCGGAGCCAGGCGGGCCACTCCACCCCTGGGCCAGGGCCGACTCCATGAACACCAGCCCAAACTGAAGTGCCTCTTCCTCCTCCCCCGCTGGCTCTGCTCCTGCCCTGCGCCCACCCCCCATCACCCAGCCCGTCCCTGGAGAGCCCTCTGCACCCAAAGACAACCACAGCCGCCAGGAGGCCATCGAGAGAGCGAAGGAGCAGCAACATCCAGTGTGTCCAGACCCGCCGACCCCAGGTGCTCGTCCCGCTCGACAGCAGGCGGGACCGCCCAGCTGGGGCACCCCCGTGCCCACTGTCCGCACCTCTTAAGGAAGCGTTTACGATTTTGCAGTTCCGTGCCAATGAACCTCAGCGTCCGCGTTGGTCCTGACATGTCTGTCCTCCCTAGCGTGGTCCAAAAGGGGGCGCCCTGGGGAGATGGGAGCACAGCTGTTGGATGGTGTGGCCCTGGGCGGGGACATGTCCCCCCACACCCGGTTCCAGGAAGGCCTCGAGCTCAGCAGACAGGCCCTGATCCCGCCAGAATGGCCTTCGCTTCCAGCCAAAGAGCACCGCCCACGCACCTCCACCCGGAGACATCCCGCTCCAGGCCTCAGCGCTGAGCCCAGAACGTGGACTGAGGATGGGAGGGCTCAGGGCCAGACAGGAGGGATGGGGTGGGTGGGGTTGGCAGGTTCCTAGGAAGGCTCATACTCCTCGGGCCGGGCGGGGCTGGGGTTTCCTCTCTGGTTTTCTAGAGATTACCTCCCTTACCTGAGTGTGCTGGTCCCATTTCTCAGACCAACTCACTGAGGCAAAAATTGGCTTCTTTGCGGCCGGTATGGTCAGGTGTGGGTGGCACAGGAGCCCCGGGCTTGCCTGTGGCCTGGTGCCAGCCAGGATCTCCGCCTGTGAGGACGCACGTGCCCTTCTCAAAGCCGAGCCCTCAGCAGGAGAGGCCTGGCCAGCCCCCTGGGAGCGGTCGCCGGTCTCTGTTGCTTCGTGGCTGGGTCTGAAGTCCCTGGAAATACCTGAGGGATCCTGCTGTGCATTAGAGGCCCCCTTGGGGGGCAGGAAAGGAATTGAGGGGCTTGTTCCGTCTGTTCTCATTCTGTGCTCCAAGGGTTTGCACTGGGCTCCGGGACAGGGACTATGGGGCTTTCTCTAGATTTTGTACGCTGTTATTAAAAGCGAGCTGTTGCATTTCATTCTGCCTCAGATTGCCCACCTGTAAAATGGGGCTGATACCACCTACCTCACTGACGTCTCCAAGTTCCAGTACACAACTGGGTCAGGGTGCGATCGCCAGCCATTCTGCACCACTGGGGTCAGGGGTCGGAGTCTGGCTGCGAATCTCCCTCTCCCCTGTCCTTGTCACCCCCTCCCCACCCCGAAGACGTTGGATGGGGTTGAGTTTGAACATTCTGGCGTTCTCTGCCGCCCAGCTTGTGCTCAGCGGTGCCCCGCTCTGCACAATTTCGAGTTCCGAAGCAGGGTGGCAGGGCAGCAGTCAGGGCAGGCCAGAGCTGGGAGCCGAGCCGAGCCTCGGAGTGAGCCCACATGGCCCAGGGCTCCAGGCGCCGATCGCAGCCCGAGCTTGGGTCCCAGGTGGCTCTGCAGTGACCGTTCTCTCCTGGTCATCTGGGGTCTGAAGACTGGAACCCGGTTCTTGGGAGAAACGGTCCTGACGTAGCTCCCGGGGGTGGGGTGGGGGGACGAGCTAGTTCAGCACGTGCAGGAGGCAGGGTCCCCCTTGTCCTCAGGGGGGGAGCCCCAGAAGGTTCCCCGCTGAAGCCAGTGGTCGGCCCAGCTCCAAGGCGTGGCCACCGCTCCTGGTTGGGCCGGCGAGTCAGGCTCCTGGGGACCTCGCAGGGTGCTGGGGGCCAGTGCAGTAACGGGAAGACGCCACAGAACTCAGACACTTGCTGGCAGGGGGGTCACGTGCCGGCTGGGCTTCAAGAGCTCACACCTCGTGTGCAGCCCGGGAACAGCACTCCGCGGTTGGCTGTTCTGCATCCAACACATAGGCAGCACCTGCATGTCGTGTCCTTGTCCCATCTTACCGACGAGGAAACCGCCGGAGGTGAAGTGACCGCCCAAGATTGACCGCAAGCATGGCGGGCAGGAGGCCACCTCGGCTTCGCCCCAGTCCGCACTGAGCCCTGACACCGCTGCCAGGACAGATGGACGGATGTTTGGTGGAGCTGACCTTCGTCTTTAAATCCCAAAGGTCCTGTGATACTGGACTGAAAACCTGCTCCGAGGTGCTTGATGGCTGCGCAGTGAGCTGTTATGCTGAGGCTGAGGTTTGATTTTTCCAAGTGACAAATGGCATCAGTAACCAATAACAGGCACAAGTGACAGGACCAGAACCTGTCCCCGCGGGTCTGGGTGTGGGTCCATCTTTACTTGTAAGGCCATCTTTAATTTTCTGGGGACATGCCTGTCGTGTGTTATGCAGGGATGACAATGTGTGCGTAAACTTCTTGAATGGGACTTGGAATCAGAAGTCCAGTTTTTCTTTGAAGAAACCTAGGTGTCACATTAATCAAGCCCACAACCCGGGCATGTGCCCTCACCGGGAATTGAACTGGCAACCTTTCAGTGCATGGGATATGCCCAGCCAACTGAGCCACCCTGACCGGGGCTAGTTAGTAGGCATTTTAAGAATGAAATAAAAGATTTTTTTCCATTAAACACATTCCACGGGGTAGTCCCTATGCAGTTGGTATATTCTAATGACTTGAAAAATCTATTTGACATTGTCATAATATGGTGGTTTTAAATCGGCCAAAATCCTTTAAAGGCTTACATATTACAAGTCTGCTAGCTTTTTAATGAGACTTAATAGGTTTCATACATACATACAAGTTGTCTCACAAAAATGTATACACACTTGGAATAATTATTCATTCCAATGGATTAAATCTGAAAAGAAACATGAGCTAGCAGCTGTTGAAATGTGTATACATTTTGGGGATATATATATATATGTTCAGTTTTCCAATTTAGCCAGAATTTAGTTTTATATTCAGTTTCATGAACCAGTATCTGTTGACATGACATTGACTTCCTGCTCAGGCTTTCTCTTGTCTTGGAACCAGAAAACAAACTTCCCTTTAAAAACCCACCTAGGAGGACACAGCCCGAGACATGGCAGTGCAGTGCTGGCTGCCCCTGCCCCGGAGCTCGCGCCGCCTTCGCCTTCGGCAGCGTCAGTGGCCGCCCTGGCAGCAGGTGTGCTCTTGGTCAGGCAGCTGGAGTTCCAGCCGCTCCTCGGAGACGGAGACGGCCTGGGAGTGGAGGAAGGTGCGCGCTGTCACTTCCTCTTCCCTTTCCCTTATGGACTTGGCATGGACTTGACCCTCATGGAGAGAAGCCTCCTGCCCTGACTCGGCCCTGGAGAACTTGGAGCACCACACGCAGAAGCCAAATCACTTGACCACCGAGTGGCCTGGGGTCGGTCCGAGTTCTGCAGCGGGTAGAGCCTCAGAAGGGGAGGAAGCCAGACACTGGGAAGTGCTTACAGCCGCGGTCCCGCCTGGGGCTCAGCAGATCCCAAACCTGCTGAGTGTAGGACGCAGGAGGAGCCGCCCCTCACCTTCTTGCCCTTTGGGCCTCACTTCACAGAAGGTGGGGCGATGTGGGCGTAAATCCGTATCTCCTGTGCTTTCCGAACAAGTTCTCTGCTGAGACCCGCAAGGAAACCTGTGGAGATTTTTCACTTTGAAGCCGTAACTAAAGTGATTTCTGCAAAAGCAGCTTGGCGATACGCACTGAACACCTTCAGGTCGGATCGTCAGCGGCTTCCGGTCAGCGGCGTCTGCATCCCGCGGAAGCCCGTCTACGTCTACGCCATGCTCACGAGGCTGCGTTCCTCTTGGAAGTTGGTTGCATGGTGAATATTACATTTATTTTTTCTCCGTGTCTTCCTCTACCGAACTCGTACCTAGTTATTTTTTTCTCTACGAGGGTATTTCAGATGAAATGCAGCTATTACAGCAATGTGGTAACATAGTGATTGAACCTTCTTTTGCCCCCCAAAGATTTCTTACTGTTTGGAGTCCTGACACAAGCTACATTTTTGACCTGGGGACTGACAGAAACCACCCCCTGCAGGGCCTCGGCTGTCCTCGGGTCGGCCAGGGGTCGGCCGCCGCTGTGGTTGAGTCAGATGCTGTGTTTGCAAAATTAAATCCAAGAGCTGCGTCTCAGCCTCGGCGCTCAGCCCTGGGAAGTAGACAACCTTGAGTGTGCTGTCAAGTTTCCGGCTGCGCCTCCTCACCAGCCCCGGAGGAGGCGGGCTCGCACCAGCCCCCTGGTCTTGTGGAAGCTGGTCTTTGGCCACCAGCTCTCTGTTGCCTTGCTCTGCGATTATTCAAGCTGACGTTGAGCACGTGGCCACGTTTCGCTAACTGCCGTAGCCTCTGTTTATTGCAAGTTCATCATGGATGGAAGCAGCAAGGGGCTCTCTTTCCCTTTCCATGGTCAGACGAAGGCTGTCACTATGCCTTGGGTGTACATAAGGCCTAGGACACTGCAGAAAGTTCTAGACTAGCAAAAGGGGGTCTGAGGCACACACACTAGAAATAGTAAGGGCAGCACATCCAGGTGACACCTGGGAACTGCTAGGAACAGCTGAGCTGGAACTGTGCACCGGCATCACCTGGGCAGACTACAAGACGGTGGTTACGGAAGAGGCAGCTCAGTGGGTTAAAACGACGCCCTCGCCACACAGATCAAACCGGTAAATAATTAGGTCCCTTTAAGCAGTCACCTGAAAACGTTCAGCTGGAGAAAGTCTCCCTGGAAAGCTACCTGGGCCTCTTTGCTATGTATCGCCGACTCTGGATCCCTTTCGGTAAATGCTGACCTAGATGGACTTCTAGGAAGCACTGTCATGCCCCTGCCTAGAAAACACAGTGACGAGGGGAAACCTTTGGGAATGTTACACTGGGAGGAGGGGGAACGTGAAATGGCCCATCCAACCCCACGGCCATTGTATATAGACCAGAAGTGGTGATGTGTAAACGCATTGTACTCTGTGCTTGGTTGTTAAACAACAGGAGCCTGGGAAACTCGTGTGAGGAAGGAAGGTCTTTGTTTCGGGGATGATAACGGGATGTCTTGTCTTTTGCCTACAGCCTTGTGTTGAATTCCCTCCCAACTTGGCCTCCACATGAGCTAACAGGTTTAACAAGTTCTCTCTCCCCTGTATGTGGGTTATGGTCTTTCATCTTGGAATCTAACTTGAATAAAACCATCAGATTGCTCTGTTTGAAATAACCATGGTTGTTGAGTGAACTTTAATGATTATATTTTGGGTAAACAATTCAATTCCAGAAACCAACCCAGTGGCCCCTCCTGCTTCAAGCCGCATCCAACCCTGTGGGCCATTGTCTCATCCTGGGCTGGGCTTCCCTGGGAAGCAAAATCGCCAGCCACCAAAGTTCACATGTGACCTGTACCAGGGCTGCCATAGCTCTGCCAGTCCCCCCGCTGGAATGTGCCCGAAGGGTGTGCCACAGGTTATCTTCAAACACATCACGAGGGAGCACAGATGTAGCCCAGGGTTCTCAAATCGGAGCCTGTATCAGAACCACTTATTAAAACCCAGAGAATATTCTGGAATGAGCTGGTGTGATGGTTGCATAGCTCTGTGAATATACTAAACACGGCTGAACTGTACACAGTGGATTTTATAGATGCGAGTTACATCAACAGGCGACAAGCTGGCCCCCGCCCGGCTCTGACTCTGGGTCCCCAGGTGTCTGAGGCCCTCGGGGCAGCTGAGCACCCAGGGCCACACTAGAGACCGTCGTCCTGCCCAGCCCTCAGCCGAGAGCCAGAGCCAGCACAGTCCCCGGGAGCTGTTGCAGTTCAGGGAAAGCACTGACAGTTTTCTTTCCCAGGGCACATCTCCTCCAGGCCGGCCAAGTGCTGAGCAACTCCGGGGGCTGGAAAAGACAGGAGCCTGACTCCAAATACTACAGTCTTGTCAATGCCTTAATAGTGATTTTCTAAAGCACTGAAAATCTACAGTTCCATAAACTCAAAACATTACTTTTTCTTGATCATTTTGATCCTTAGTTTTAAAATGTCCTGAAGAGCTCGGATTTTTGACTGGGACGGATCCCCGCTCCACTGGCTTATCTGCGAGAAACTGAAGCTCCTGAACTCGTTCCTTTGGAAACCCACCCAGGCCAAGTGCGGGAGGCCTGCTGTGAGGACCAGACCAGGTGCACGGAGAAGGCCGGGCACAGCTCCCATAGCAGCCCCCGAGCTACTCCAGGCCTCGTGGGAGTGGCCTCGGGCCTGGTAACTTCCGTCTCCCTCCAAGCAGGAGGTTCTGGGTGGGGCTCTGCAGGCCCCCCCAGCTCTGCAGCAGCACCGCGCCACCCCCCACCCCGCGCTGCAGACCCCTCTGCTCTCGTGCCCTGTATTAGTGCCAGGTGCGTCGAGAAGGAACATGGAATGTCAAACACGGATGTTGTTTCCTCTCCATTTATTCACATTTCGTGGATTGTTACAAGTCCTCAATGGGATCATTCAAAAACTAACACAAACGGATTACATGGGCCGACAATTCAAGTATTTAAAAACGTTTCCTACTTAAAATAGAAAGCAAACAATGTATCCACCTGATTGCTAAGAAGGAAGCTTTCATCTGGGAGAGGCTCCTGTCCAAGGCCAAGTACTTCCCAGCGCCTTGTGCTCAGCGCGGGGCTGAGACCAGTTTGCCAAGAGGTTCCCTGTCCCTGCGGGCAGCACAGGACAACCCCGTGTCTCCTGGAGAGCTTGTCCATTTCTCACTTTCAGAAGGAGACACGGGGGCTGGGAGGGAGCCGCTTGGTGTACGAAGCCTCGAGTGCACTGCGCTTGCATGTGGGCTGTTCCAGAGTGACTGACAGATGCCCCCAAACACCCCCCCATCTTTCTCAGTGAGCACTGGTCCGAACTAAGAGCAAGATGCGATAGTAGGTAGGTATTCTGGCATGCAGCGCATCAAAAATAGGATCTAGAGTAAAGTTGTTAAACGGCCATCCTTTTAAAGAAAACCAGTTCCTAAACAGTCGGACTCGTTCTTCCCAGGAAACACAACCTAAACTTCTTTAAAGCCTGGATGCTCCTGGCCGGTGTGGCTCAGTGGTTGCATGTGGACCCATGAACCAAGAGATCACAGTATTTTTGCTGGTCAGGGCATGTGCCTGGGTTTTGGGCTTGATACTAAATCAATGATTTTCTATTATCATTGATGTTCCTATCTCTCTCCCTCTCCCTTCCTCTCTCTGAAATTAAAAAACACCTGGACACACATCTTCCGTCTGTAAGTCTAACAATGAAGGAGCCCACAGCGGTGTTTCGCCTACTGGGGAGGCTCAAAAGGCTGAGAAGGACACACCCGTGTGGAAAAGGCCGCTGGGATGCTCAGCATTTGTCAAGATGCAACAATACCTGATTCAGAACGAAAGATACACACACTAACTGTAGGCCACATACATAATACACTTTATAGGTTCTTAAACCAAAAATGAAAATTTCAGTCCACATTTAAACATTTTAAAGACTCATTTCTAACACTTTGTTAAAGATGAGCATGACCGCACGGGGAGGGTGTAGCTGTCCCGCAATGGGGAGGAAAGGCAGCCTCCCAGGCCACACGCCAGGAGGTCGGGTTACAGTGAAATCCGCACGTTCCCAGGCGCCGGTACCCAGCACCTGTTTCAAGTGGAGACCAACAAGTTCCTAAAGCGTGAGAATTGTAAGAAAATATCACATTTTGAGTTATGGTACACACATCACATTTTTCCCTGTAATTTTCACTTTAACAGTGAGTCTTAGCAGCAAGAATTTGCTGGGAATGTTAGGAGAGAAGCACACATAGCCATCACTGGTTTGAAAGACGTAGGCCAACCACCTTCACAGGTGTTCCCGTGCCCCTTCTGTTGCGCATCTCGCCAGTCACACAAAAGCTAACAACGATTAAAATTATGATCCAAACTTAAAAAAAAAAAAAAAAAAGCTAACAACGATGCACCGTGACCACCAGTTCCCTGCTGACTCCGCTGTTCCGGGCGGGGCCCGGAGCACGTGTGGCCAGGCTGTAACAGATCGATGTGCGCTCCCTGTACTTCCTCATCCGTCTGACAGCTGGATACACAGAGAACCCTATGTGCCCAGGCCAGGGGCAGGGGCAGGGGCAGGACGACTGTTACAGCATCAATAATAAACAGCTTGTTTATTAGCAATCATCTGTAACCAGAGCACATGAGTAATCTCAATTCTAAGCAGTAAATGCAAAAACCACTGTTGCTTCTGCCTGGGTCGCAGGAGACGAGCTGGCCCACATCCATCACAGCAAGCACGCCTGTCTGCGCATTCATCCCGTCACCCTGGCCGACGCGCCCGTGCAGTTAACAAACAGAGCAGTGCAGGAATCTCATGGCAAACATTGGTCAAGCCACCTGGCCTCCAATATTTATTATATTTGATCACGTTTCCCTGCCCCCTTTACATCTAAAAATTGTAGCTTGTTTTTTTAAAAAAACAACTACACTATCTACAATTATTTGACTCCTCTTTTCTAAGTCAGAAGATGTGCTGAAGGTCAGAACATAGTGTGAGCCCTCAGGCACCAACTGAGCCTTAAAAAAGTTCGCCTGATGCCAGCGCTGGCGCTGAGTCAGGAACACGGGCGTGTCCACCTACAAAGCCCGTCTCTCACGTGCTGTCTGAGGGAAGCTGGCGTGAGCTACCGACAGCCGTGGGGAAGCAGCGCGGCACGCCTGTGCCCACGCCACTCCCCTCCCCGGGGGCACCCTGAACAACCTCACTCAGAAAGGAACTGGAACTTGATGGGAATAGGGAACATCCCGGCGTCCAAGGTAAAGGCAACATTTACACACACGCTCTCCCCTCCCTTTCCTGGTGGATTCACAAGGCTCGTGCCTAATAAAAGCTCCTAGGGCTTAAGCAGTAGGTAGTTGTAGACCCACAGGGCTCGCGTGGTCCAAGCACATTCACTTTCTGCTGTAGGATGATTTACAAAGTATAAGCGACCAAATTTGTGCTTTTAAATCTCATCCCTGGCAACCCCCCTTAACCATGTGTCATGAGGGGACACAGAAGTAACAGCACCTCGTGAATCACACTCCACAACTAAAGAACGAGTCCTTGTTTCCTGTAAAAAGAAAAGCAGTTCTGGGTCCTGCCCAGCAGCCTGCAGGGGCAAGGCCACGTCTGCTGAGCGGCCCGGCAGAGGGTGCCCTTCAGGACCCGCGCTGCAGCTTTAGAAGAACACTTAAAGCAAGCACACCCCCGCCAGCAGGGCAGCGCTTCACCTGGGAGGGGCGCTGTCCCCACGGCCCAGCCTCGCCCACTAGGCGGGAGGGTAGGGCCAGGCTCCTCTGGACACCCACCCTCAGGAGCCTCGCCCAAACCCACGGGTGGGAAAAGCTTTGGGAAATCCGATCACTACCCTGATTTCAGTCCATTAAGAAATCACTTGTGGTTAATTTAATAAATGAACATTAAAAATACCAAAATTTCTTTCAAATGTAGTTTACACATTAGACAGTTCTTAACACTAAACATTAAAGGTTTATTGGCCATATTAATCTTGCTCACAGGCTGTAAGTTACCTAAAAGTTCTCAGAACGTCAACGGAAGAAGAAACCTGACTAAGGGGGGCGGGGCTAGGCGTCCTTCTTCCCCAGGAGGACTCGGTGCAGCTCGTCCGCGTCCTCGCCGGTTTTGACCCGGATCAGCATGGTCACGGGGGCGGCGGCGTTCTTCTCGTCCACCGGGGGGTTGGGCACGCAGACGATGAGCACGTTGTTCTTCCCGGTCCGGGTGCACGGCATGTTGGGTGGGATCAGGACGTTCAGCAATATGTTGCCTGCATTTAAGGAAACAAAACGACCCAAATCATACAAACTGCAGCCCCATGAAACCAGAGCTCTCAGGCGCTGAACATGAAACATGCAGCCCCCTTGCACTCCACGGACTGAAAACGGGGCCACGGGAATGTCACAGAAACGGGCCCGGTCCTGACCGAGGCCAGCAGGGTGTCCCGAGAGGACCCTGAGGCCACCGGCAGGACTGGCTCTGCCTGAC